TGTATATATATATAATAAAATAAAATAAAGATTAAAAAAAATGAAATGTTTGGCTGCCTGCATTACATTTTAGAAATAAAAGCATCATGTTAAGGGCTATATTAACAATAAGGAAATTGCCCAAGGTTTTATTTTTGGTATAAATGTAGTAGCAGTACCAAACATTTCATTTAGTAACAGACTTTGCCCAAACATTTCATTTGTACCACTCACGGTACCAAACCTTTTATTTTTGCCACCAACGATACCAAACCTTTCAAAATGTCCGTAACTGAAATTCAAATAGAAGATTTCTGTTAGTTTGACCGTTAGTTGACCAAATAATTACCTTTGACAATAATGTTGACTGATTTTAAAAAGTTAAAATAGTAATTTAACAAATTTTTAATAACAAAATAACCAAAATCAAATAATTAAAATTAAAAATCCACCCCACCCCACCCCAAATCTGTAAAACTGGGAAATCAACATATTTGAATCCTCGAATCCATGACGTCAGAAACCTGTTGCCCAACTATGTAGATCTATGTAGGCCGGATTAGAGATTTGGACTTAACAACTGATTAGAAATGGAGCTCCTCGATAAAAATATGGATTTCCTGCTGAAATGGTCCGTCGAAAAGAATATCTTGACCAAAAAGGAGAATAAGAGATAAGAGATTGAAAATGACTTAGGGATTTTCTGTATGACGTCTAAGCAAGTTTATAGTAAAGTCAATTTCTTGCTGCTAATTTGCGGAGGCGCTTGTGGCGGTCACTACAGCCCGTGTGTGGGTGGATTACGATCGTCGACATGGTGGAGGTGGGTGGATTTTGGTTCGTTTGGTGAGGATTGGATGGGGGAAGGTGAGTGTGAGGGGTAGGAAGAATATGAACTGTTTCAAATGAAGTTTTGGGTTTCTGATTCCATGGTCAATCAAAATGAAGTTTTGGGCTAAATGCACCTGCAAAGTTCCTTAGAGCCACTGTCATGGCAGCAGAGTGCACATTTTGTTTGGTACCTAGCAGTGGCAAAAAAGCTCGTCGGCTAGGGCTCGGGCTCGGGCGCGGAACCGAGCCCCATTTTTGGGCATCGGCCCGAGCCGGACCGGGCCGGGCCGGCCCGTGACATGGCTCGGCTCGTAATAAGAAAAAAAAAAAATTAAAACTGCCTG